ACACTTTCGTCTCAGTGCCCCAACCGCAGTCATGAGCCATGCTGTAGGCCAGGCTGAACGCAGATTAGACTGCACTGCACTTCACGAATGACTGTTTTTTCTCTCTCGTCGTCCCTTGACTCATTCTGCATTCCCTTTTACTACTTCAGCTCATCTCAGACCCTACTTAATTGGTCTCTCCTACCAATGCACTCTCGAGAAGGAAGGTGAGTAACTCGACACTTTACTAGTTTGCAATTCGTTCGACAGCCGAACTTCGACTTACTTTAATGCTAATATTCATCCTTTATCCTTTTAGAGAGTCTATATACCTGGTCCATCACGGAATGTGCACCCTCCAGATAGCCGTTAGCTGTGTGTGTTTATGCACGCGTGTGTAACTCTGTATGATTTTCCATTGAACTCCTCCCATTTTGTTTGCTTGTCTCATTGTTCAGGTTCATATTTTTCCCCTTAGAGAATCAGGCTACATGGCGTATCACAGAAGCTAGTAAGAATGCATACTATGCCTATTAGTCGTTACACGCCACTCAAAGTCCATTACGTGTAGTTTTGCATTTTTATGAGTATGCACACGCATACGTGCAATCAACTCTTCTCTTCTTTAGTCGACTAGATATTTGGCTTCACTTTAGGCTTGGTAAGAACTCATTTGTTAATTAAATGGGTTCTTGGTTAATTAAGTCAATGGTTTTGTGACTGGGCAGTTTCTATCTTTTCTTCATCCTCATCGAGACCTTATCTATGGCATACAGCTATCTAATCCATCCTCTTCCCATCCGGAGTGATATGAACACCAGATGGCAGGAAGAAAAAGGAGCGAGTGTGACAGGAACGGGTAATCTTGCAATTTCACAGATTCGTCAAGCGAAGAAAAAGAAGAGAATGAAGAAGGACTTGAAAGAAATGGAAAGTGACGAAAACGGCGGGTTTTACTGATGTTTGATTAATGGCTTTGCCAAAATTATAAGTTTACTGCATACACTGATGGAAAAGCAGGCAGGGAGGAATTTCGATTGTAAGGAAGAGCTTGATGATGGGCTTTTAGCTCTACCAAATTTCGTCCCTACTCAAGGTCTAAAATTAACAAACAATGCTGCACTATTGTGGAACCTAATCCGGATTGTTCACCACCATCAAAACATTTGGACATTCCAGATGTTGCCTCATAATGAGGGAGTTCATAGTGAGAGTGGGTCATCCTCAGTCCTTGACCT